TATATTTTCTCTATTATCATGCAATGTTGTGATAGCACCCTAACCGGGTCATTATTAGAATAGTTATTCTCTCTCTTTCAATCAGGGGGGCTTTATTTGAAATCGATCGCAAATATCTGCGTGCACGCAAACTTGCATCAATTTGTTCGTATACGCAACTTGTTATGAGCGAATAGCTTTATTTGAAATTGACATTGGACGTGTGCATCTTTACTTGCGTGCACGCAATAGATGCACTCGCTCGCTGCGTTGCCAGTGTTCTTTTCACAAAATGTTGAAAATCTACCATATAAAAATGAGTTGATTTTTGAATTTCACGATATTTTGGCTGACGGTGACGTATATTTTACAATGACATTTATTTATTATGATGTTTTGAGGTTAGAATTTTCTAAAATATGTTTATAACCACAAAAAATGAATATTATTTCACCAAGCCCTATTCCTGTAGATAGAAAAAACTCTGCGCAAACGCAGATCCGGAGGAAAAAAGGCTTCTTGTCTAGTTTGTCAGAGAACGCCCCAACCTTTACCAAAGATTCATATAGCATCATATTAGTCTTCAAAAGTAGCTTTATTTAGCCGAAATTTATTCACAAAAGCCCGGTCACTTAGGACAAAGACATAAAATCGCGGCCGTACTGCGAGCTTCTCGTTGAAAGCTATTTAGTTCAAGAGGAGCCAGCAAATTAGGCAATCTCAATCACGTGATTGGCCGTTCGGGTCAAATATTGCCGTGACAAGGGTGACAAGCCGGTGACGTTCATAAGGAGAGCATTTGTCCACATTTGTGTTCTGGCCCTTGTTGCTTTCGAAGTGAATTTTATAGTCTTTGGTGTTTCTACGTATTTTTTATTGGTTTTGGCCATTGTTGTTTTCATAGTGAATTTCATGGTTTTCAGTATTTCAATGTATTTTTTAGTATTCTGGCCCTTGTTGTTTTCAAAGTGATATTTATAGTGTTTATAGTGTTTCTACGTATTTTTTAATTTATTAATAAATTCTGAGATGGAGAGTGAATATTTTAAAGTATTATTATTAACGGAAAATCGAGCCTCTATTAGATCTTTTCTTTTAATTGCAGCAATCCATAAAGCCCTGCGTTGCCAATGATTTTAAAAAGCAGGAACTGGATAAAATTTCACATTTTTCCTGTTACCTCGACTTCCACACCCAATTACGATGCAAACCGCTGGCATTTTAATTAACACAAAAAAATACAAAATCCGATAATTCAAATCTGGACGTTTGTCCAGAATGTGACAGAATCAATGACATACAGAATAAACAGCACAGGGCTTGACCCAATGCTTGACCCGAACTTCCATATTGAATTTCGTTTTTGACAGGTCAGTAGATTGCCTAATTGTTAATAATAATAATAACGTTACTGATGATCAAAATTAAAATAAATTGACAAATTGACGACATAACTTACGTGTGCGTAAGTAGACTTGCGATCGATATACCCCCATGCGCAAAAGTTGCGAGTGGTGCAAAGTCATATCGCTCGCAGTGCATCTCAAATAAGCCGTGCCCCAATTGTCAATCGCAGATGACGTTATTTGCGTGTACGCAAAGTTGCATCAATTTCAAATAAACCCCCCCAGGTAGAACATTCTGTTGTCGACATTCTATTATTATTTTATGTAGATTATAATTACTAGCTAGTATGTAGTATTAACGTGAAGCAAGTTTGATCGTTTTAGTGTTTCGCTATTCCACCATATTCACTCACTATTGGGATACCGCTCAATAAATGCAACTTATATACTCTAAGCTTCGCAGATGACCAATTATGAATTGCACAGGATTATGATGACACTAAATAGGATTTCGAAGTTAATCTGACGAAAACAGAAAGTATGAATGCAACGAAACCTGAAATTGAATAACGGACAAGAAATAAAATAGTGCACTGAATACAGATATTTTGGAATGAAAATCTCGCCCTAGTCTCTGAAGATCGGAAAATTCAAGGACGGAATGCAACTAAATGGAGTACTGTGTCTCAACAAAACCAAAATAGACACCATCGTCAAATACATGGTTAGGTACACATAGCTCTGACCCCTGAACTATATGCCACTAAAGGACATAAACGCTAAAATACTTAAAGCAATGGAAATAGACTTTTGGGGAGAGGCAGGCAGGCAGGCAGGTCAAGAATAAAAAAAGATAACAAACCATCAGAGAATTAGAGAAATTATGAACTTGAGACGCACAATAGTAGATGATATCAAAGACAAAGAACTGATTTGGATCGGGATGTACAAAGAATGGCAGAGACGAGAATACCCATGTAAATTATAGAGTAAAAGCCGAGAAGAAGCTAGACAATGCAGTAGACGATATTGACAGGGATGGTTACATACTATGGGAATCGACGTAGAACGTTATAGACCAATAATAGTTATACATTATAATGAAAATACAACATGAACCAAAAGAGAGAATCAAAGTTTTATTTATCTAGGTCGTAATAACTATGGCTTTAGTTAGTACCTGGGTTATGATACATGATAATATATCGAGATAAATACGAATAATTTAATAATTTTAGATACCACCGCGGAAGAACATTTCAAACAATCATCCAATTATAAACGATAAACGTTAATTCCCCATCATAAATAAATGGAATATGTTGGCAAAAGTTAGGAAATTTGCTGCTATAAAAGAATTTATTGTTGAATCAAAAGGGCTTTTTATAACGGCGGCGATTAAATGAGTTATAAAAATACCTTCTATACAGAGAACTCACTCGATATTCATCGCTTTTCAAGCTTTTCGGTCCTTATGGAATAATTTGGTTTCATGAATATAATAACAAAATTCCTTTGATACACAGAGCGTATGCGCCAAAATGTCACAGTTTCTGACATTTATTTATGAATTAAATGCGACCCGGCGAAGCCTAGGATCACAATCAGAGTGAAGCCAGGATGTTCATTGGGCCAAGCTGTTTGTCGATATTTGTAGGAACCACATTTCTCCTTGTCAAAAAAATCTGCCGTTTAATGTTGAAATTACTCACAGTACAGATAATAAGCTCTGCAATCTTTATATGTATACAGACTTCGAGTCAAGGTCAACGTATCCAGAATAACTGTTTGCGAGCTGCTGATGATAAAGTTGTTCTGGAAACACACAAAGGAGTACTTACAAATTACTCTTATTTTTAGGCATTTAGGCAATACTTTCCATACCCACCCACCGCCTCAATCATTTTTCGACAAATGCAAACATCGACTAGAGTGCGTCAGCGCAGCATCTGTGCATCTCTTAGAAAGAGTATTTGACAACCACGACATGATAATTGCTCAAACTAAGCTGTCGGTCGACAATGACATGGTCATGCCATTAGTTCTCTACGAATCGGAAATCGGAACCTTGACCACCTACTGACGTTTGTTTGGAAAAATACCAGCGCGGCCCAAAAAGAATAGGTACTCAAAGTTAACTAGCAAGACTGCCAAGCGAACAAAAATATCCTTGAGAAAAAACCAATTCCACCAGCCTCGAAGCAAGGATCACCCAAGATCAACTTTGCTGGAATGGTCATGTCATTCGCGTGCTAGTCTCACGTGTTCCTAAGCAGATGAAGAATGGCCAACGCAGCCAATTTAAATGATATAAAGATGTCCTCTAACATGGAAAAATGTCAGATCGATATTGATGACTCGAAGACTAAGGCTCTAGATAGACCCATCTGACAACAAAATATACATAGTAACTGTAACTACTCACAGTAAAAGCAAAGGCACGGATGACCAACGGGATCGTAGGGAAGAGCGCCAAAAGTAGAATGGATATGCAATACATGTGGGAGAATTTAGAAACGGTTGCAAAAAACTCGTTATCTAGCTAGTTAATGCCTATGATGATGATTGGTTTCCATTACAATGTATCGTAAGTTCATGCTGGAGCATCTTGTTCATACATGGTGACTCAGAGTAAATTTCCTTTTTCGGACGCGCCCTGTACATCCAACTTAATATTTGTGGGGGGTTAGCGCTGGCGATTTGCGGCAACTGCATGCGGATTATCATATCAGTAAACCTGGAGCAGTGGTGGAACGAGCAACGCACGTTTATGGTCGAGACGTTTTTTAAATCAAACGATTCCTATGTCGCAGCACGGCGACGTTTTTGTAACCGTTACACTATTCGGCGTATACGTGATGCTCCGTCAAAGAATATATTGGAATCGTGAGTTCAAAGATTCAGACAGTGGTACAATGGCAAATCAGAAGCGTTCCGGCCAACAGAAGTCCATCAGAACGCCAGAGAACATTGGGACTGGGCGACGTGCTGCGACTGAAAATCCGAAGCGCTCAATTCGAAAATATAGCGAGAATATAAAGGCGCGTTGCTCGTTCGACCACTGCTCGATGTTTAAAGTTGGATATACAGGCCGCGTTCGAAAAGGAAAATTTACTCAGAGTCACCCTGTTTTTGCAGTCAAAATGCACAGTGCTCAAACGAGAGAACAGTTTATTGATAGATTTCCGAATTCTGCTGCTCCAAGTAAAAATCTTTCTCATCGTAATAAATGATGATATTGCTCCCTGTGATTTGACGTTTTTGACTGTTGTAAGAATAGGCCTGCGACTGTTGGCAAATTAAAGAAAGCCGTCGAGAGACAGTTTGAGGTGCTGAATTTCAACAACATGAGCTGCCATCGTCAACAATGTTCTGTCAATTATGTATTGACCAAAATTATTATTGACACGTTAAACAGTTTATCAAATGTTGACTAATATTAAGATAATAACCTAAACCTATTTCTTATTATCTGTGTCTATTTTTTTGTCCATATCCGGTGAAGTGACTTTTGGAAAACCCTATATTTTATCTCCATCTTTCTTTTTTCCGTTGGCTCTGGTAATGTTATGAAAATTTTAAAATTTAACTCTCAGATTTTCAAATAGAATGTTCTTATATATTTACACATGAGAGAAAAAAGAAGTCTATTCTCTAATATATCTTGTTACTTGCCTGGAATCCTCGTCGTATCCATCAGGACAATCTGGTGCCCCGTCGCAGAGATATTGAATCGATATGCAGTTTCCGTCTCCAGGACATTTGAAGGGCTCGTAGGGGTGGCAAGCGTCACCTGAAATAGAACAATGTATTTAGAAAATACGATTGGATTTTTTAATTGAAGCCGAGTCAATTTTGATGGTATAAGGTTGAAGAAACGCGTACTATTTGTGGTTTAGAAAAATAATTCTCATATGCAATCCTATATATCTGATGTATCATAGCAATAGATATCATAACAATTCAAATTTTTCGTTCATATGTTTCGCAAAGTAAATCTTATAATATGTACCTATCTAGGTTACTTATAAATTGCTGATAACGTTAAATTTTGCTATTTGTTTATAGAGCTGAAATTAACCTCCTATTTTGAAAAACATCTTATCTCTAGAAATAATTCTTTGTGTTCTGTGATTAAAACTTTGATTTGAAAACGGCTCAGCCATAACTGCTCACGCATTTTTTCGAGCTAAAAATTATTGACAATTTCTTAGCCAAGGTTATTTCTTAAAACTTATACATATATGTTATTTGTAGGAGTTGAGGCATAATTTTCCCTTTCAGTAGGTACTGGCACTGATCAGGATAATTTTCGATTCATCGGTACGAGGGCGATAAACTTTTCTACTGGATTCCCAAAAGTTAATTATAATAATTATTAAAAGTTGACCGCTGTTCTGGAAAGTTTTCTACGTTGCTTTAACTTACTTGTTTCCGACACTATCAATACTTATCTTAAAATTATAATGAACTTTGGCAATGGCACTTAAAACTTATCGAATTTCAGAGTTTCTCAGCACTGCAATATAATTGGGATTCAGCAATTTTTTTTTGCCTCCTATGTCAAAGTTTTATTGAGCGGATGGGAAAGAGTTAAGAAACCAATTTCAAGAAATTTATTCAATGGTTTGAAGCGTAAATTTGGGAAAGTCGACTTTTAAAGATTACTGGCATTATCTTAAAAGAACTTGAAAATTAACAAGCAGATAGCAAATTAACATCAGAAATACCATGCCATTCAGGTTATAGTGTAGCTGTGAAAAATCAAGTACTTCTAAATGATAATTTGAATTTATCTCTAACGTGGTATTTAATGTTTAATTAATTTCAATTGATAAATTATTTTGTGTTCAACAGAGTTCAAATCTCAATGAAAATGTGAGAAGGTGAATTGTTTATCGTTATCCGCCTGTATTTTGCAAGCTGATTACTGAGTTTCTTTGAACTGATTCCAAAAATTAAGCACCTAAAATTTATTTTTATGACGCTAGGAGAAGTTTTAATCTGAAATTACGGCATTTTTGCGGAACGGATCTCGAGAAGGGCAAGGGTAGAAAATTATAATGAGTCAAGAAGTTTGTAAACGTTTTTCAACGAATTCTCTTGTTACCAGGAGCCACCAGACAATATGGAGGTACAGGAAAATTTTTCACATTTGCGAGCCCCCCGACCGGGGATCATATAGGTGTAAAAAACTTTGAATGGCTTCTCTACACACGTTGAAGTGTTTCCTATTATACCCCTTGCGCGATTTTGTCCAGGTTGTATTCCAATGGGCTAAATGTTGTCTTTCCGACCATCATCCAGTGTTGACTTTACCAGTTGGATCGATATTCCAAGACTAGGCCTGGGGCTTATGAATGGCGTTGCAGCTCCAGCTCTCACCAGCCCATCTGCTTTTTCGTTGCCCTCTATCCCTGAGCTACATTTTGGTTTCTACATCCTCGCGTAATACTTTGTTGGATGCACTCATGTATAGCGAAGACTTCTGCTTGATATAGTGGTTTCATTGCGAAGTAACATGCTGACATTTATCTTGGGTTGTTCTCCATGTATCCCTGCCGCCCACTCCGTTTGCCGTTTTCGAGCCGTCGGTGTACATAACGCGTCCATCAAGCAACAGAGGGAGCAAAAAATATTAGTTATAAAAAAATCAAAATACAATTAAAGTAATTATAACCACTATATTGGCCGCCATGTTGAATATATCGAGTTGCCCAAAGGTGACGGGATGTCATCATTGATTTTTTTGCAGCTCAATATGTCCTTTTACTAATTCAGAAATTAAAAAAAAAAAACTTAATACCATAATTTTAGGTTCACATGAAATATATGGTTTGGCAACCAGATTATTGAGTGAGAGCTAAGTTTATTGCTTGTTGGACCAAAGTAAGTCAATGACTTCAAGGTGGCATGAATAATTGTGGATAGTAGTGTCTAGTGTCAGTATGAGAGGGTTTGTGATATATTGAGAAAGAATGATGCACTTTTTCTTTTTCAATGTTAAGATCTAGAAAATTATTAGAATTGGTAATTTCTTCTTCAATGGTAAATTTAATATTGGAATGCAAATTATTTATGAAACGCTATAAATAACAAAAAAGAGAGACGATGGAAGTCCGAAAGTATCTTTTACTTGGGAGAAGAAAAGTGGTTTTTTGAATGGAAATTTAAGTGCAGTGGACGCAGTGAACCCTTTTGGCAGCGGGTGCTCAAAAAATAAAGACTATTATAACATGTAGCATACAAGAGGGTGATGAAAAGTTTATGGAACTGGAGTAGAAAGTACAAGATGATCATGATTTCACCATAAAGTGCCACAGAAGCTGTGTTTCAACCTACACATCTAAAACACATTTGAAAAGAGCAATCCTGTCGACTAGATCAGCTGGTTCAGAAGCAAGTCTGAAATAATAGCGTTTGAATTCCAGGAATACTGCATTTCCTGTGCAGAAAATTGTTATTTGAAGAAGGATCCGAGACACCCTGAAAGATGGAGACCAGTATATCAGTTTCTTCAATTAAAAACAAAAACAAATCAGTGAAAGAATTACTTATTGAGATATGTGATAATAGGAACGATAGCTGTGCCGCCAAAGTTCGACTTCGGTTATTTGGCGTGAAAATTGAAGACGGTACTTTCAAAGAGACATCTGCCATACCTTAAAAAAATGCTGATACACCTAAGTTGCATAAAAAGACCGTGGAAAAAATTAAAGCAGTTTATAGCCGCCATATTTGCCGTCATACTGAATATACGGAGTTGCCCAAGGATGACAGAATGTCATCATCCATTGTATTAAAGCTCAATACGTCCTTGTAAAGAATCAGAAGTTAAAAAAACTTAATACAAAATTTTAGGGTATTGCTTTTGGCATCCGGACTACAAATAAGGTGGATATCAATGTTGCTTTCAAAACTACAAAATTACTCGGCAAACATCTCAAAAACAATAAAAGCAAATCAGATAAATTGTAAAATCGGGAGTTTATCAGCTAGTCTGTAATGATTTTCCGAAAACGTATATAGGTCAGACAGAAAGATGCTTCAAAACGAGAATTTCCGAATACCATAATTCTTATTTGGAACATAAATTCTGATTTATTACTCAAATCAATTAGATTTCCTTGTTAAATATTTTCAATTTTTAGAACAACATTAACATTTTATTACCCTTGTTTGTTTCCCTTGAATAATATATCCATGTATCAAAAGAAGTTTTTACCCCGTGTGTGTATTGTTGGTTGTGTCCTTCATTCAAGTTATCATATTATCTGTTGCATAAATTATGTTCCTGTTCCTGTTAGTAATAGTTATAAAATTTACGTTTAGAGTTGCAACCATAGTTTCAGTCAGTTCAAAACTACAGTGTAGTGAAACATGTTACTGCTGTAATAGGATATAGTAAAAACTAGTTTTACTTTTTCTCAACCGTGAATATTTTGTCTCGGATTATCTTTTAGACTTGCAGAGAAGAACTAGAATGCTGAAAATCGAATGGTGGCCAATGAAGTCAGTCGAATTGGGAGGTTTAACAGCCTCTAACAACGCCAGAGTCTCCTTCAGCGTCACAAGAGCAACCTATGGCCCCTCTATGGAAAGTCCAAATCCCCTAGGATCTAGGGATGGAATTCAACTTGAAGATCCTCTTCTTAAGGAACCTATTCAGCAGCTCCCGAGGGAAGGAACGTATTCAGGAACCCCTAAACAGAAAGTTCAAAATGGATGTTGACGTCTTCAACAAAGTTCCTCAAAAACCTACTGAGTGACGTTCCTTCCCATTGAGAGGTTCAAAAACTGGATACAAATAAAGCTGCGTCGCTGCTAAACGTCGAATATACATGGTACAAGGCGACAAAACACAAAGTGGATTTTTTTGCCAGGTTTTTCTCCAATCAACTTCCTTTGGCCGAAAAAGCCCTACCCCCTACTCGAAACACAGTATGGCTTGAAACGTAATCGAGGTGCAGGACAAATGCAAGTAAAATCGGAGGAGCACAACTAACTCGGCTCTATGGCATTTATAGATCTTTGCAAAGCATTTGACTCTGTTGATCGAGCAGCTCTTCACAGAATAGTGCAAGACAACATAAACGTCACTGTCCTCACCAACAAAGAATTCGAAAAACCTTTATAATCACAGCCAGAGTCAAGCAAAGATGTATCCTTTCGCCAAGCTATTTCAAAGAGCTGTACTCCACCTTCTCCAAGAAAACCTACTGTTGGGCAATAAAATCTCCTATGGTAGGTATGCTATTCAATCTAAACAGACTTCGAGCCAAGAGCAAGGTATTCGCAACAACTGTTTGTGAGCCTCAATATGCTGTCCTGGCAAACACTCGATCCATGGAATTCTATACCAGCCTGCGCCATAAATTCTAACGCACCAGGTCCAGCTATAATTACCAATAGAGCACCTCTACAAAATTTAGAATGCTTACCATACCTAGGTATAGTCATCTTTCGATTATGGGTTTCAACCAAAACATTAAATTAGCTTATAAACCCTTGAACAAACAACCAAGCAACAATCCCACATATTTCCGTCGAATATTTCCAATGTTTCTCCTTACTCTTTATTCAATCCGTTTACTTACGAAACAAAATCTTGATAACTTTTATTTAAAGGCCCGTACACACTACTCCCTCCTGTATGCTTATTTCCTGTTTCCTGTTCATGTGTTGACCTCTCCAAATGCATTTTTTTCTCAGTTTGCAGTTTTAATTTGAAATGATACCTGGAAACTTATACCATTTCGAGTCTTACATTATTTTGTTTTTGCTGTACTCGAA